ATATGTGTGTGTGTGTGTGTGTGTGAGAGAGAGAGAGAGTGTGTCTGTATTTGTGTGTTTGCACCTGTGTGCATGCGTGTGAGTTTCATATGGGGTACTGAACCCAGAGGTGCCAAATATTTTTCAGATTTTATCATTTTAGTGTTGCTTGGTGCGTCTTCCAGAGTCCATACACTTGAGTGTGGCACTTGAGATGTCACTGCCCTGCGAGAAAGTCTTTTCTCTTATCATCCACTGGAAAAGGTGAATGCGTTCTTAGAAGAAAATAATAATAAATTTGTTTTAACGGATTCTGATTTGATCAGAACTGACACCATCTTGTCTGTGAATCCACAAAAGTGGCGGCCGTTTCAGATAAAGCGAATAAACACTGATGTAGGTACCTACGATGTACGTATTGTTCATTTAATGCTCAATATGAGATTTTTCTGAAGAAATCAAAATTGAACATTAAATTATGTAATGCCCAGCACACCAGGTCTATCTATCTATCTATCTATCTATCTATCTATCTATATATATATATATATATATATATATATATATATATATATATATATATATATATGTGTGTGTGTGTGTGTGTTTGTTTGTTTTTTGTTTCATAAAAAAATATTTATGTTAAATGTTTATTGCTTTTCTTGTGTGCAAACAAGACATTTCTTTTTTGCATTTAGAAGTTGTCTCAATGTTTGTTTCTGGAATTTTCGTCTAATTCAAAGATTTCCAACGTGGGGCGCATAGTAATATTTTGGTGGGGCATGCGTAGGATGTGCACCCTTCGGCTTACTATACCAACAGATTAGGGGGGCAATTCAAGAATGAATTATTAACAGTGAATTGTTTTTCAGTGACTCTGAGTGAGAGTGTTAATGTTAATGTGTGTTAATACATAAGATACATATACAATATACATAGATAAAAACTATTTTGTGTGTATGTATGGACGTGTGTAATTGGCATAGAGGGGATTTCCTGTCTCCCCACACTTGTTTCTCTCGGTCAACAAAGAAGAGGGCGTGATGCATGTCGCTGGAAGAGCCCATGTTTTCTTGACCAATCAGCGTGTGTGAGCATTCAGTTTGCTTCCTTCAAGTGAACTGCAGTGCAATTTTGAATATGCAAGAATTAAATATCATGAGGTGGCACCATAACTTTAGAAATACCAAAGTGGGGCAAAGAACCACTGTTAGTCATTTACAAGGATTTTGGTTGTTTTTGCAAATAATGTACATGTTGTTGACGAGGATGTCTATTATTTCCAGACGTTCTTTACTTTTAAAGGCCTGAATTTGTGTCTCTGATAAGTATGTAACATGTCGAAGATGATAAGTTTCCATGTTGTTAGTTTTCCTTGTTGGAAATGGGCCCATGTACCTGTATTTATAAATGCAAGAGAGAAAGAAATATATATATATATATATATATAATTGGTGATACTCGCTTGGAAAAACCCTGGATAGTTCGAATTGTAATAGAACAAATCGGTACCCAAAGAAAAATGAGGAATAAAAAAGAAAGAACCAAGAACATAAAACTAAGGCGAACACAACCGTCTAGAGTTCAAGCTCAAAGTCCAAAGAAAAAAAAAAAAAATATATATATATATATATATATATATATATATATATATATATATATAATAAAAAAAGAAAGAACAGTAAGATATAGAATCCGGTGTTCTTATTGATATTTTTATTTTTACCTAACAGTGCTCAATGTAAATTTACAGAGCATAAATATTATAAATTAACTGATTTAGAATATTGTGCTTTCGCTACACAGGAATTACCATGTTTCAAACTTCAATTTAATTATATAATTAAATCAAAAGCATTACTTCTGTTTCATCTTCAAGCGAATTTTGGAAAAACTTATTTTTAAATTTACTGAGTTTTAAACGGACATACAATTCATAATTTTTTCTGTCCAAGAATACAGAGAAATCCAATCATTTGTCTAACGTGGCCTGACGATTAAGCCTAGCATGAAACAGCCTGTCGGCTCTAAGTGTTGACTTCAATGTTCACATTTATGTTTACACACGCACTATCTCTGATACTGAGCACTTTATCCTATAAATATAGCACACCTTAAGAGTATATTTCTTCATATATAAATATATATATATATATATAGTTTTGAAAATACACCAAGTCATTTTTTTCTTTTTATACCTTGAGGAATCCTTTCAGCCAACACTTCGTCGGAAGGAAACCGTCGTAATTAATTGTCACATTTGTCAAAAAAAAACAAAACAAAAAAAAAAACACTATGAATTTCTACTTCCATGATGAAGGGAATTAATTTAGTTATGAAAAGCCTCAGCGTCGCTGACGGAATCGAAAATAGAAAAAGTTTAATCAACATAACGTTGATTTTTGGATGTGTACTGGTTGAACGTAAATGTGGTTTGTTCATTATGAATGTTAATCGGAAGTTTACGTTCACAAATCTGTACACCAACTGGAATTCTTTTGTCTTGAAGTTTCGTAAGATAAAGCTGATTTCTACCTTGGTATGTCTCGTGTTGATGATCTGTTTCCATTGTAGACTCAATCAGGAACTAAAGAATTTCTCTGACAATGGTTATCCTGTTAATTTCATTAAACGCGTTGTTGAGCGTAAGATTAAACGCTTAAAAGAACGGGTAGTATTCGGTCCCAACTTGTGTCTTGTTTATTTAAAATTACTCCGGCTAGGCGAGAAAAGTCAAACGATAGCTGAGTGTTGGCTTGTGTGGCGTCATGTTTTTCTACTGCTAAGTTGGGTGTTATTTTTGGGACTAGTTCGGCATTTCCTTCATTTATCAAAACTGTTTTGTGCTATTTTCAAAATAGTTTTATCATATATAAATTCAAATGTAAGTGTGAAGCTGAATACGTAGGACGAACCAATGAGCTACTTGAAACGTAAAAATAGTCAGCACGTTCCTGCCAGTATATGACAGGGCGGTTTGAGTCTCTCGTTGTGAGTAACAAAGTCTGCGCATGATTCGGCCAGTGGCCAGCACATGGTTGAAAACACAGACAGTGCTAACAAATATGTGAACAATTCTTTAACAGTTTTTACTCGGTCCGCTCATCATTTACGTCTCCTTGAAGCGAACCACATCAAGTTAAATCAACCGGATCTTTGCAATTAGAAGAAGCATTTCATTCACTCCCTCGGCTTTTAGGAGATTCGTGAGTACTATTTTTCAATTTTATGCTAACGTTGAACTATGCATTTTTTATTCAGAAATTATTTTACCAATAAATATATTATAATCTTTCCCTTCTCATCTATTTTTTTTACAAGGTATAAAAATATTTTCAAAACCGTATTAACGTTTTGTGGTATCATCTCCTTGTTTAATATATATATATATATATATATATATATATATATATATATATATGTGTGTGTGTGTGTGTGTGTGTGTTTTCTACTTAGTTGGTAACAACAAATAACAACACACCAGCTAAGTCAAAATTACAAAGAACGAACATTATCTATGAATTCAAATGCCCCTTAAGGAAATGTGTTCCTGATCAAACCAGACTCAAAAATAATTACATCGGTTACACAACCACATGCTTATCCAGACGTCTTACGTTACACCTATCTGATCATAGTTCCATTAAAACCCATTTATACACACACACAAATTTACCAGACTCCATTAGGAACATACAATATAAATATATTAACTGCATCCACCTGCAAAAAAAAGAGTAAAAATAATGGAAGCATTAATAATAAAAAAGAAAAAAGCCAACTCTTAATAATATTAACTACGAACAAAGCCACAATGTGCTAACCGTATTCGGAAATTAAAAACATCCCTACCACACACTAAGACATACACAGAACGCACACCCGCAATTAAGCTGAAAAATCGAATCATCCATGATAATGGCTAAAGGTATAGCCGAAAGCGCTCGGAAATATAAAAAATTTGGACAGTTCTTACACACCCTTTGTCCAGAAAAGAATTCTCTTGTTAGAACACAAGAAAAATTAAATAAAAAGCTTAACCGTAGTACCTTGTCTGTCATTTTTAATGAAACTTGCATAAAAGAAGGATTGCTGCCTAAATATACAACTATCATATATATATATATATATATATATATATATATATATATATATATATATATATATATATATATATATATATATATATATATGCCGTATATTTCCGCGTATCAAATGATCTTTAAATACCGAAAAACGACCTGAAAAATTGAGGGTTTTCCTATGCTACAATTCTAAATAAGAAACCTTAAATTGAGTGACGTTTGTTGGTAGGCTAAACTTCGCTGCCATAAAAATAACCTACATGAAAAGATTCATATTATCAAATAAACTGATCAAACCATTTCTACTTTATATATCACTGGCATAACTTCATAATAAATTGCCTATTCGAAGAATAATTCCATATCAATGAACTCAACTCGTATCCATGAAAACTCACAGCAATGTTCAGAGGAATGTATATTATTTTACCGTTATTATCGGTATTTTGTGGTTATCTATGACGTATAAGTAAATAGACATTAGTACACCAGGGTGTTTGCAACTGTTCAGATATAGAAGAAGAAGAAGAAGAAGAAGAAGAAGAAGAAGAAGAAGAAGAATCAGTATTCATAAGAGATCACGTGATAGGGGACGTGTGTAAGAAAACATGATATAGAATCTTTCTTTTATTTCGTTTATTTTGAATTTTTAAGGATACAGTAAGTCAAAACATTCCCAATAACGTTATCTTTATATAATCAATAAGCAGTCGTCTTTTATTACAGGTATAGGGTAAATTCAAGAAAATTTGCTATATTTTTTGACCTCGCCCTATCTAAATATACGGGAGATATGCGATAGTTGCGTCTTTACTGTGATTACAACAGTGCGTCTTTGTATCAAACAAATTAATTCAACACGCAATTATAGTAATACATTCTCTTTGTCGTGTGTGTGTGTGTTTGTGTGTGTGTGCGCGCGCAGGCGCGTTTGTGCTAATCGGTCCTGGAAGGGAAGAAAGAATGTCTAAAAAGAAGAAAAAAATGAATGCTGGAATGAAGGAATAAAATGGCCGCCTCAATGAAACGAAAGAATGGGGGAAAAGAAGAAAATAGAAAGAATAGGAAGGAAAAGAAGAAAGGTGAAAAGAAAACCAAAAAGAAAAATACAAGAAAGAATAAAAAAAACAGAAAATTTAAAATTAGACGAGAGAAAATGTAAGAAAAAAATATAATGGCAGACAAAAGTAGAAAAAGAAAGAAAGGAAAGAAAGAAAAGAAAAACGAAAAGAAAGTTAAAGAGAAAACAAAAAGAAAGAAGAAGAAAGAGAAAAGAGATGTGGTTAGAAAAAAAGGGTGCGTAAAATATAACAACAAAAAAGAAAAGAAAGAAAAGGGAGAAGGCGTAAAAAAAGTTAGGGGTTTCGGGAAAAAACTATAATAAAGAAAGGAGGAAAGATCATCCATCGAAGGATAAGGGGATCGAGAGAGAGAGAGAGAGAGAGAGAGAGAGAGAGAGAGAGAGAAGAAGGGGAGGCAGAGAGAGAGAGTGAGATAAAGAAGAGAGAGAGCAGGGGAGTCAAAATGAGAGAGAGAGAGAGAGTAAGAGTGAGATAAAGAGAGAGCAGGGGAAACAGTGAGAGAGAAAGAGTGAGATACGGAGGGTGAGAGCAGATGGAAGCAGAGTGTAATAAAGAGAGAGAATAAGACTGAGATAAAGAGAGAGAGAGAGAGAGCAGAGGAGACAGAGTGACAGCGAGAGAAAGAGTGAGATACAGAGAGAGAGTAAGTGGAAGCAGAGTGAGATAAATAGAGAGAGAAAGATGAGATAAAGAGAGAGATAGTAAAGGAGGCAGAGTGTGTGTGTTTCAGAGAGAGAGAGAGAGATAGAGATAGAGAGAGAGAGAGAGTGAGAGAGAGATAGAGAGAGAGAGAGAACGGAGAAAATTTTCTGTTTGTTGAAATTCTCTTTATTTTTCACGTTACTAATTTGTATCTTGGATTTTAATAGTAGACAACTGTATTTCGCATGCAAATAGTGACAAAAGCTATATAAATAAACACGGCCTGACACTCTTTATGCCAATATGACTCGTTAAAAGATCCACCCACATCATAAATTTGGACACACAGTGAGGGTCCTTTTCAATAAAGAAGCAATACCTAGTGATGCGAGCGTCTTGACCCACACGCTAGCAAGTAGAAATATACTTGATATTGCATAAGACAGAAACAGTATAGAGTAGTGAATAAAGGTCAGAATCATTACAATGTCAAATAGCCTACAAGTTGTGTTTGTTACACGTCACAGTACGTTATATCCAAATTGTATATATGTGCGTTCGTTTGTCATCTTGTGTGTGTACGTGTGTGTGCGTATGTGTGCGTGTGAGACTTAATGGCGTATGTTGGTGGTTGAGGAACGTGTCGGTGCAATTCACGAGTGCTTACAAGCAAATATCCCGTCGTCCAATCAGAGGATTATCTCGCCGTTGGGATCTTGCCGCAAAAGGTCTCTAAAGTGCGCATGTCGTCAGGAAGTCACGTTCGCATAACAAACAGGGCGAGATAACGAGAACAAATACGACAGGGAAGTAAAATATAAATAAAACATTTGTGGGATGTTGAAAAATGAGACTCTTGTCTGGAACGGGTTGTGAAATCGTTTCTGTCAGGGAATATTATTGCCGGCATCTCTCGCATTCTATCCCCGTAGCCTTTGTCTTTTTTAGCATACCATTTCGACCAACATATTCTACGGACTTCAGTGTAGGTTGCATCCGGTGGTATTCATAAGTCACGGTTCAACTTCAGCAGCCAACGAATAAAGCTGTTAACCTGGATACTCATTCTTGAGAAGAAAAGAAAAAGCAAATTATATTTAATAGCGACTTCGAGGAAGAGTAAAACGATTATCCTTAATCCTTATCTTGTTTAATGATGAAAATAATGGATTATCGAGTTTCAGCCCACAGTCAAATGAGGTTCGTTTGAGACTTTTAATGTAGAAAAGTGAAAATCAATATTTATGGAAGTTTCTCTCCGAATTTCTGGTATGAAGAATTTTCATTATTTATACAATTGTCCTCATCTTGTTATCACAATGCTCCGACCGTTGTGCTCTTCGGTCTTCGTCCGGTGTACTTTGATCAAGGTAACCTAAAATTGGAGGACACAACGGCCGAAACGTTGTGATAACAACAACAAAGATGAGGACAACAGTCCGCATGTAAAATAGTGTAAATAATGCTGAGACAGAATTTGTTTTTAATCATTTCACTCCAAGCAAGCCAGGAATGCCACAAGTATTCAGGGGGTTATAGGCAGTGAAAGTAAGAAAAAAAACAGAGTATAGGGAGGAATTTGGAAAGGACAAAAGATGAACGAGATTTAAGGAGACAGAAGATAGTGATTGACGTTGCTTTTAAATTTTTGAAGATTGTATTTATCATGGAAGCATGTAAACGGAGTTCCACAGGCGGGAAGTGAAAGAAACTGTCGGAGTAGAAGTGGCGGTTACATTTGACAATTTCAACAGTAGAAGGGTGGGACCTAAATGCCAATCAAGTAGCACGCTTAAATTCATGTAATCGGGACACCAGACAAAATTCTTACAGCCTGAAATTTCAAAACAATACCATGTGCAATTTTAGATTTTTGACATCAGTTTGTTGTAGTTATATGTCAAGCTGAGTTTTGGCAGAAAGGCTTGCTGTGAGGATTTGACCCCACTATTTAGCTATAGTGATATCCAGATCTTGAATTTAAAGCACACGAACATCGCCTCTCACCTTGTTAGCAACGTCAAGTTTCGTGACTACAGAAAATAATTCCATCTTTGAATATAGGATACTGAAATATGGTAATATCTATAGGCGGTAAAGTCTTTTCGTTTTGTAAAGAAACGACAGTTATTTGTATAATAAATTCTGAGTTTTGAAGTGACAAATTAATAACCACGTTGCAAGTTTTCCTTTTCAAAATAGTGTTAATTTGATGGATAAAGTGAAGTGTTTTATTAGTTTAGCGCAGGAAATAATTCAAATTTTCGGCAGGGACTAAAAAATATTTTAAAAAATCGTTAAAGATAATCGATGACATTGTCTTTATCTTGGTTATGGTTAATTATTGAAACTTGTTTAACTAAAACCATTAATATCTCTACTTCAATAAATAAATAAATAAAATTGCGTGCAAATTATTTAGATTTCGACATTAAATAAACCAAACAGGTTGACACACCGCTGAACAAAAGCTACCAACGAACAATTTATCCACATATTGACTTTGCTTTCATTAAGTGTAAAGTTCCGAAACAAACTCAAGGTTCACGCTGAAGAGGTTACCAAAACCCACCAACTTGCAAGAACACACACGCTAATATATATATATATATATATATATATATATATATATATATATATATATATATATATATATATATATATATATATATATATATATATATATATAAAGGTGAACATTGAAGTCAACACTCAGAGACGACAGGCTGTTTCATGCTAGACACAATCATCGATGAATGCGTCTAGCATGAAACCGTCTGTCACCTCTGAGTGTTGGCTTCAATGTTCACTTTTATATTTACATACGTTCTATCTCTGCTATTGAGCACTTTTATCCCATAAATATAGCACACCTTAAAAATTATATATATATATATATATATATATATATATACACACAGACACACACACACATATATATATATATATATATATATATATATATATATATATATATATATATATATATGATTAAATAATTAATGTGGAGAAACTTGTCACTTAACTGAGTGGTGTTATTTTAGTCATGCCGACTTCGAAGTTTCGTGAGCGCATTTTTGTAATGTCTTCAGTCTTCAGGGCTTTTAGCTCCTCTACCCTTACATTTTAATATCGAGCGCATCAAGACAAAAACCTGCCTACCTAAAATGACTTTCCCCCAGTAAACTACGAAAAAGAACCAGCAATTTTGGTACCTAACACTTCCAATTTAAAAATAATAATAATATTAATGATAATAATAATAATAATAATAATAATAACATGTGTGTGTGTGTGTATCCGAAAATTATAACATAAATATGTGATAAAATCTCTACAAAAGTAGCCTTTTTCTTTCAACATGTCTGGTGTCTTATCAAGTGACTGTAGAACAATGTAGATAAGACATCAGAAGTGTTGAAACAAAATGGCTATTTTTGTAGTGATTTTTTAACATATTTATATTATAATTTTCGGATATATCATATTTGCTCTACTCTGCATTGAGCAGACGTTTAAGAACAGTATTTTTTGGTTATTGGAATTTATTTCGTATACACCAATCCTATACTTTGTATATATATATATATATATATATATATATATATATATATATATATTCTCTATATTTAGTCAGAAAACACGAAGTGTTACGTATGCTTAATACTTCTCGTTTTTACTCTCGCGTTGTCATGTGTGACGTCACGAGCTGCAACGTGATTTTCGCTTCCGTGTTTCGTATAGACGAGTTAGACGTTGTTTTGAAATTTTTCATGCAACAAAAACAGACTCTCATTATTGTTTCGTTCGTGTATCGGTTGATATATTGAAAAGTAATTGTCATCTTTGATAATGGCTTATGAACGCCGAAAGCTTAGATCGGATTTAAATATGTATCAATATGGTGATTTCCTTTCGTCTTTAGATGATAATTTTATTAAGCTTATCAGACAATATGAAAGTTATTTACTTAAAATTGACAAAACTTCTCTACATTAGTTAATGAAACATTCATCAATATATATATATATATATATATATATATATGAGTGAACATTGAATTTACTCAGAGGCGACAGGCTGTTTCATGCTAGACGCAATCGTCAGGCAGATCAGAATATATATATATATATATATATATATATATATATATATATATATATATATATATATATATTTGTTTATACGTTTTTTTATAGATAGGAGCATATATGTATTTGAAGCTGGTAGTTGGGAACAAATTATAATATATAAGCGATAAAGATATTCCGCAAAAAAAAATGTATTTTCAAAAAAAAGTCTACATTGTTCAACTTGTAAAATAAAATCGCCCTCAACCGCCATATTACCTAGAAAGCAACAACATGTATGGAGAAATTGTTACTCACGATGGCAGGCTTCGGTCAATGTTTGTTGGGCCGTGAATTGTTACCCAATTTTACAACTTGCTAGTTCAGATTAAATAATCTTGTGTTGAGGGGTGATATGGTCCAGACTATCCCCAACTTGGTACTTAGTGGTAATGTGGACCACGTGGGAAGACCAATGTCCTATCCTGTACGCTATCAATTTTCGAACCAGAGCTTTCCCACTGTGCCTAACACCTCGATGTAAGTAATAGTGATGACCCTGAAATGTTGGGAGGGGGGGGTACTGGACAGATGAACTGGCCACCGTAACCGTGAGCATGATGGAGATGATGGTGTTTGTCTACATCAGCTCGCATTTACTTTCAAATCATTTTGGTTAGTAGCACGACGAGAGCACGGTATGCGTTTTCATTTATTCTCTCATATTAAGTGATCTTGATCAGTTCGAAATAGAAATGAAAAGCTTAAATCTTATCAACCATATTCACTGTCAATTGAGATGAAACTGTTACTTAAATGTACTCAGAACCATTGAATTCAATTTCAAGATTTTCTATGTAATATTTCACACACACACACACACACACACACACACACACACACACACACACACACACACACACACACACACACATACATATTTGAGTAGGAGCTGTGCTTATATATTAAAGAGTATATGTATTTACATTAAGCTCGAAATTTCGAGAAATCTTATTTAAAATTTACGCTTTCGCTGTCTCTCTCACTCTCTCTCTCTCTCTCTCTATATATATATATATATATATATATATATATATATATATATGTGTGTGTGTGTGTGTGTGTGTGCGTGTGAAAAAGTGGACATTGAAGGCAACACCCACAGGCGACAGTCGTTTACATGCTAAATACAATCGTCAAGCCTGAAACAGCCTGTTGCTTCTGAGTGTTGACTTCACTGCTCACTTTTATATTTACATACGCTCTATCTCAGATATTGAGCACTTTAACGCATAAGTAGAGCCGACCCCCCAAAAAACAAACTATATTTTATCATTATCTATCTATCTATCTATCTATCTATCTATCTATCTATCTGTTTGTATCAGCAAAACTTAAAAAAAATACTTAAAAATTTTTCTTCTATCTCAAATTATCTTAGTAAACACAGAACCCTTAATGGTTCTATTGGGGTGAATATGTATAAAACTTATTTAATGAGGAAATATTTATATGGTTTTGATAAACGATCATCAACCAGTATTTACCCGCAAACAATATTCATTTTTCTTTATTTATACCAAGCAATATAATTAAAATGTAAGAACAATGAAAAAAAAAAAAAAAAAAAAAAAAAAAAAAAACAATAAAGCGAAAGAAGAGACATATTATCAGTAGGAATTTTGTTAATAACAAGTTTCTAAAATATATGTTTATCTCGCTAAAAAAGGAACAGCATTTGAAATAGGCATGAAGTATGTCTGTATACGAATCCCAAAACTAATACCAAAACTATAGCAAGAAATAGGATATGAAAATGTATAGATGATTTAATTTCACA